TGTTCTTCATGTTTTACATTTCTGAACAGATTGTCCAGAAGGAAAGGAAAAAAAATGCAAGATATGATGGTCAGTATCTGGAGTATGTTTCATTTTGTTTTGACATTCTAAACCAGAAGTCTTTAATTATCTTCCCACCACACAGCCCCTTCTAAATCTTTATTGTATAGTGTTTAACCCTGTTCCTGCAACATGCCTACTCCGACACCCACATATACACACAACTGAGACAGTATACATCCAAGTTCTACCAGTAATCTATAACTTTATTCCAGTTTGAAAACATGAGCGAGGCTAATGAGAAGTCTCTCTCAGAGATAATTTTATAAACGTGAATCGGACAGCTTTTTATGGTTGGGAATAGTTTGAATCACATTGGCCCTATCATGTATTTTCTTAAAGATTATGTAATTGTACTCAGCTATAAAATCACCTCTGCCTTTTTTTTTTAATAGTCTAAGTGTAATCATTCTCTAATCTGTCCTATGGTAATTGTTCTTCCACTTTTTCTTTGAATCAAATTTGGTTCTTATTTTGCTAGGAATTGACCATTTCCTCTAAATTTTCATGTTGTTGGTAAAATAAGTAAATTGCTTCAGTATTTTTGACATCAGTCTGACAGTATATATTAGCATTTAAAAATACACATACCGTTTAAGTATGCAATTCCCACTTCTGATAATCCAGTTAAATAGAAATAAGAGCAATAATATACAAAAATATGCAGATAAAGACTTTTATTATAGCACACTGTTGTGACAACAAAATGCAAGCAGCTTTAATGCCCAACAATAAAGAAATGACTTAATATGTTTTATATCATCTAAAAGCATGGATTAATGGCTACAGAGTCTCCATTTGGTAAGATGAAGAAAGTTCTGGAAATAGTGATATTGGTTGCACAACATTGTGAATGTGCTTAAAGCCACTGAATTGCACACTTAAAAAATCATTAAGATGGTAAATTTGATGTGTATTTTCCCACAAATAAAAAAATGAAAATAAAAATAAAGCAGACAGTTTATACTTTCAAACAATTACGATTTTATTTCTTGTTCTACATCCAGTGAAACAAATATAACTCAGGATTTTTAATCAAAGAATGTGGTGTGTGTGTGTGTGCATGTGTGTATTTTCCCGGGATGAGACATATGTTCAGTAAACGAGCCCTAAGCCCTAGTAAGGAGAGATTTGTCTGAGACTATCTGCTAAGGGGGTGATACTCCTATCCTATTTTAATGCATCATAGGAGAAAACATTTTGAGTCTACATCATATACTATGTAAAACTCTAAATAGACTGGATTCTGAATGCATAGCAATTGTATACATTTACACTGTAGTATTCCATGGATTCATTTTAAACTAATAGGATCTAATTAAAAAGAGCACCCTAAGTCTATTTTTACGTTTTTAAGGAATCTCCATACTGTTTTCCATAATGGCTACACCCAACTACATTCCAGACTAACCATATGATCCAATCCCACTCTGGGAATATATCTGGAGGAAACTTTAATTCAAAAAGACACATGCACCCCAATATTCATAGCAGCACTATTTACAATAGCCAAGACATGGAAGCAACCTAAATTGTCCATTGACAGATGACTGGATAAAGAAGCTGTGGTATATTTATACAATGGAATACTACTCAGCCATAAAAATAATGAAATAATGCTATTTACAGCAACATAGATGGACCTGGAGATTGTCATACTAAGTGAAGTAAGCTCGAAAGAGAAAAATACCATATGATATCACTTATACTGGAATCTAAAAATAAAAGGACACAAATGAACTTATTTATAAAACAGAGGCAGACTCACAGACATAGAAAGTAAACTTATGGTTACCAGGGGGGAAAGTGGGTGGGGAGGGATAAACTGGGAATTCGGGATTTGTAGATACTAACTACTGTATATAAAATAGGTAAACAACAAGGTCTTACTGTACAGCACAGGGAACTATATTCAATACACTGTAATGGCCTATAATGAAAAAGAATATGAAAAGGAACATATATATGTATAAGTGAATCACTATGCTGTACACCAGAAAGTAACACAACATTGTAAATTGAATATACTTCAATAAAAAAAAAGAGCTCCCTGAGGAGACACATAACTAAACCTAAATGTATATAAAGTTGTTATATTATTTTACATGTTTTACTAGTCAGATTTCTTCAGAGTTGAATGCATGACCTTTTAATTCAACAGACATTTAGTTAATGAGACAAATGAAAAAAGTGTTAAAATTTTATTAAAAAAATCTTAATTTCCAACAAACCACCTAGGGTTATAAATGTATGAACTATAGCTACAGTCTTGAATAAATAGCTAAACTATAGTTTTATCATTTAAAAATACTGAAATTTTGGTTAAATATTAAAGAATTAGATATCCTAGTTTATTAGCAGTTTAGCACAAATCCAGTTGCACTGTAAACTCTGTTGAAATTTTCCCAGTTTTGATCCCTTACTCACTTCAGTAAGCACATTCTAATAAACGCAGTTTAATCTTTCTTTGATAATAAATCTTATCAAAGTGCCTTCAGGATTATCATCCAGAGCATAAGTACTCATGGCATTGGGATAAAACTTTTGCAAATAGTGGGAAAAAAAATTGCTATTGGCTCCAAGACTTACTGGAGAAATGTCTGCTTATACTGCATTCTCACTGACAAATTCCTTTTTTTTTTGGAATTTGTCTCTCTTTATCTAAAAAAAATGAGCCAACTTCTAGGTAATAAAGTTCTTACTTTATAATATTTTGTTCAGCCATCCCAGACTTCGTTCAAGAGAGCAGCAAATTTTCTTTCATTGTGAAGTCCCAGCAACTTGCACAGCTGAGACTTTTAATCGGAAACAGACTCAAGTGACTGTTAAGACAAGGCTGAAAACCGTAAATTTCCTACTCTCCTCTTCTTCCCATCATGCTAACACATTACCATCTACTGTAAATAACAACGTGTGGTGGGCTGCACTTAGATGCCAGTTGTCCACGATTCTTTCCTCTTGCAAAATGTTTCTCAGATTTAGACAGACTCAGATATGCTTCAACCAACTGCCTTAGGAATCTGGGTGGGGATTTTCTAATGTATTTCAGATATGATTCAGATTTACATAGACTATAAACTTGCCTTTAATATATCATAAAAATGACAGAGAAATGTTCTACATCTGATTTTTATTCCAGAGCCACTTCTCAATCTAAATATTAAAATGATTAAACAAAGTATAGATGGAAATGCTTTCCTTTTTTTTCATACACTTCTACTTAGCAGAGGCAACTCTACTAAAATTTATTTCACAGCAGTTCTAAATTTCTGACTTTTGGTCTGATAAAAAGAGAAATATAGTTTAGAATGTTTATACTACAATGACCCCAAAATGGCTGGTAAGTATAGAGAGGAAGCTATTTTGAAATAATTATTTTTAACAACCCAATTCCACCTATAATCTTAGAGCAAATATGCATAAATCAGTTGGAATATGGACAACATTTAAGTGGTTACATAAATAAGATTTGATTCAGTGATAATATTGTGGGAATTATTCTCTTGGATTTATGTTATTTTAATATAGCATTTTCAGTAAACTAATAGTTTTAAATGAGAAATATAAAAATAAAATTTCTAGTCCATTGTTAATTAAGTTTGTGAGGAACGATGTTTATAAAAGTTACGTTCAAAATACAATAAACTAAGCAGGTGTTTGCAAGTGTTTCTACATGTTAGTCGCTGTGGTCATATTTTAAGACCAGTTTTTATTAGTCTATATACTTCTTCACTTGTATTTGTCTTTTCTCACATAGTTTCCATGTCTTGGCTAAGCAGGAACCCTAGAAAGCAAGAACAAATGGCTCAGTAAAGAAAAATCACTAAGTATTTGAGTAAATAATAAGGGTATATTGTACTCTTTAGTCAATGATACCATCTAATAGAAAATGTAGAAAATGAAGCAATACATGCACATGAATTTACCCTGTTATTCTAAGAATTTCCTCTTAAGACAACACCCTTTGGGCAATGTCCTTCTCTCCAATTTTTTGGGGGTGCCAGGATCTTTTCCACCCTAACAGTACTGATATATGCTTGTCTGGATTTTCTTTTTGAGGGGAGGGCTCGTGGAAGGGGCTGGTTGATTTGTGTGTTAAAAACACTGAAGATTTTCCGAAGACAGGGTCACATTCTTCTCCAAAACAGTTCCTCACAAACTTTAAAGAGAGGTCTTCTTGGGAAACCTCCCCGTTGTGTCTAACCTTACAGCATTGTTCCTTGCAATGCTTTAAAGTTGACAACTCATGTTAAAATTAGGAATTAACTGTGTAAAGTGCCTATATCTTTACATGTTTATTTCATCCGAGAACATTCTACACATTTTGCATTGATTCTGCAGCTTTTATCTCTTTAACTAAGATTTTGTAATTTGTGACTACGGAGGCAGCACATCTTCAACGTTTTGTGGCACTAAGTACCACTAAAAGCCATTTTATGGCTCTACAATCATTAAAACCTTAGTATTACTGGAGCAATGAAAAACACTGCCTACTACCTGGGGATAATGCTCCCATTATGTTGCACTTTAATGGAGTAAGAATAAAGGCCAACCACAACATGGCCTTGCGTTTTATTTGACCCTGTGATCATTTAACACCGGACTGGGAGTCCCGTACAGCTGTTGACTGACTTTCCAATGCACTCAGGAGAGTATGCATCCTATATGCTATTTTCGAAGCAGAAATGATTTAGGAAATTCGTTGAAAACAACCACAACTTATGAGAGTTCTTTCAGCTTAGGTCGTCACCTTCTGTGATTTGGGGGTCAGCAGCCTAAAGATAATGTTTTAAAATAATAAATACAATTTCAGAAAGAAGAAAAAAAATCTGGAAACCATTTTTATCTTCTTTCTTTCTTTCTTTCTTTTTTTTTTAACATCTTGGCACAGAGCAAGCGGGAAGTTACTTAGCACGGTTCCGGGTTTCCTTGCGCCCCGCCCTACCACAGCTACAGGCTTTTTAGTCCCTGGGTCGGTCTGTCCTACGGGGAGCAATCGCTGTCCATCGGTCGGCGCTCTGCCCGCCCGCCGCGCATCTGCCCTTCTCTCCTGACTCCGCCCCGCATCTGTCCGGAACCGCCTCGCGTCTGAGCTGACCCAGTGCGCGTCTGCCAGTCAGTCCCTCCGGACCCGCCGCGAGTCTCGGGCTGCCGAAATCACCGCGCGTCACTCGGTCCGTACCCAGTGGGCGTCTTGGGTATCTGGGCGGTCTCCGGTCCCCCGCGCGTGTGTCTGTCTGTCTGTCTCTCTGTGCGATCCGCCGCCTGCAGCCTGTCTGCCGGCCGCAGCGCACCAAGTGTCCAGTCTGCCCTTTTCGCTGACGCTGAGTGTGTGCAGCGGCCTTAGTGAGCCGCGAGCCCGCCGGAGAGCGGTCAGGCGGCCGGCGGAGGAATACACGCTCGGCCCCTGCCCTTGTTGATATCATTTTAAGCCAACACTAGCTTGAGGCCTATATTTATGCGGAAAACGGGCCGTGAGGCCTCTGTCGGCCAAGCTAACTGTGGGGAGCCAGCCAGCTGCTTGATGATTTCTTACAATTTCACGGGGAAAGGGAAATTTCTTTCCTACGACTGGCTTTGGAAACTGATTTTAAATCTGAATGGGTGGAAATGATAAGCCCCCCGCCCCCCCCGCCCCCCCCCCGCCCCCGGTAGGGAGAACAGATTCGTTATTGGGGTGCTTTTTTTTTTTTTTTGTCTGGTGCGTGTGTTCTGAGCCTGCTGACCAGCTGTTTCTGAACTTCATTTTCTCAGCCTCAACAGTGATTCTGAGTCTGCTTTTAGCTTCCTTCGCCTTGGCTTTTTGCTGTTTGTGAACAGCTGCTTGGCCCATAGCTTAGAGAAAGCAGCTTTTTTTTTCTCTCTCAAGAGAGCCTCCTCCCTGTGCTCAGAGAAATGGGGAGTGGGGAGCCTAATCCTGCCGGCAAGAAAAAGAAGTACCTCAAGGCTGCCCTGTACGTGGGTGACTTGGACCCAGATGTCACCGAGGACATGTTATATAAAAAGTTCAGGCCCGCTGGCCCTCTGCGCTTCACCCGAATCTGCCGTGACCCGGTGACCCGCAGCCCCCTGGGCTATGGCTATGTTAACTTCCGCTTTCCTGCGGATGCTGAGTGGGCCCTTAACACCATGAATTTTGATTTGATCAACGGCAAACCATTCCGCCTGATGTGGTCTCAGCCAGATGACCGCTTAAGAAAGTCTGGCGTGGGAAACATATTCATCAAAAACCTGGACAAATCCATAGACAATAGGGCCCTGTTTTACTTATTTTCTGCTTTTGGTAACATTCTATCCTGCAAAGTCGTGTGCGATGACAATGGCTCTAAGGGTTATGCTTATGTGCACTTTGACAGCCTGGCAGCTGCCAATCGGGCCATCTGGCACATGAACGGGGTGCGGCTCAACAACCGCCAGGTCTATGTTGGCCGATTCAAATTTCCCGAAGAGCGGGCGGCTGAAGTTAGAACTAGGGATAGAGCAACTTTCACCAATGTTTTCGTTAAAAACTTTGGCGATGATGTGGATGACGACAAACTGAAGGAAATTTTCAGTGAGTATGGGCCCACGGAGAGCGTTAAGGTGATAAGAGATGCCAGTGGGAAATCTAAAGGCTTTGGCTTTGTGAGATACGAGACACACGAGGCTGCTCAGAAGGCTGTGTTAGACCTGCATGGCAAGTCCATCGATGGGAAAGTCCTCTACGTGGGGCGAGCACAGAAGAAAATTGAACGTCTGGCTGAGTTAAGGCGAAGATTCGAGCGGCTGAGATTAAAAGAAAAAAGTCGGCCTCCAGGGGTGCCCGTCTATATTAAGAACCTGGATGAGACCATCGATGATGAAAAACTGAAAGAGGAATTTTCTCCCTTTGGATCCATTAGCCGGGCCAAAGTGATGGTGGAAGTGGGGCAGGGCAAAGGGTTTGGTGTCGTCTGCTTCTCCTCTTTTGACGAAGCTACCAAAGCAGTAGATGAGATGAATGGTCGCATAGTGGGCTCCAAGCCCCTGCATGTCACCCTGGGCCAGGCCAGGCGCAGGTGGTGAGAAGAAGAATGCCCAGTTTGTTTCAGCCTTAAGCTGGTGCCTGCTTAGTTTGGGCTACTTTGTGATAAGAGGTTATTTTATGCCAATTCCCAGGTTTTTTAAGTGAATACTTTCTTTTGAAAAAGAGTGAAACTAGAGAACCTTGTTCATTTTAGTGAAGAACATGATTTCTAATCGTAAAACTGTCATTTTGTACTATTTTTCGATATAATATCCTTAGTAATGTGTAGAATAAAGTTTATCCCTCCACACACTTTTTTTCCCTAAACCAGTCAAGGTGAAGTAATTGATTGAGTATATTTCCTTCCTTATTTCAATAATATTACTAAATTTAATTTCTTCTATGAACATATTTTCTAAATGGTCCTTACTTCTGAATCTATCACAGTGAAAACTTATAACTTGCTTTTTGAGAAATCAGTAAAGCAGGGGAATGTGTATATGATCCAGTTAATATCTGTGTATAATTTCACTTTAAATTATTATTTAAAATGAATGTTCTTTTTTTTAAAGATGTGTGCTTTCTTTCTTCCCTTTATTTATTGATATAGTTTTCCTTTTTTTAATATATTGTGGGCATATCACAGACTTGATAGTGGCTTTGACTAAGTGCTGAGAGATTTCTTTATTAATTTCACACCCAAAGAAATAAGCATATTGGTGTTTTCTCAGTCTCTTAGAAAATTAACACTTTAGGCATTGATTATTTAAATTCTAAGTTTCATCTTAAAAACCTTTCCTGAGAGATTTAATATTTCAAGACTAGTCTAAGGAGCATTCTTAGCGCTCATTTTTTAAAACTCCTTAGTAGGTATACTTGGATCCTGTTTATTAACAAGAAAAGTGAAAAACAGCACTGAATTGCCTTTATGTATGGGTAACTTTGAGATTACCTTCAGCCTTTATTAAGTGTTAATGTAGAAAGTAAATAATCCATGCAATGATTTTGAAAACTACTTTGAAGTACATCTTCTGTTAAAGTTCTCATCATCTCCTGTAAATTGTTGAATATATCCAGGAGATAATATTTTCAGATGTTTCAAAGGAAAAGGTGGTCTCTCTTGATGAAATCATGTGCCTCCATCTATCATATGAGAGCTATTAATCAAGCATGGTTCTCTTTTTGTCCAGCTGCTTGGAAGTTGTGACAAAATGTTCTGTTCTATGTTGCAGTTACATTATTCAGCCTGTAATTTCTATGTTACAAATTTTCCGTGTTTCACTTGCAGGTCCTCCTTCTCCATACTCATCTATCTTCCATCCATGTTACACTTACTTTTATGTTTTCTTTGGGTTGCTTTTCTTTTAATATATGTGAGTTCAAATCTACTTTGGAATTAGAGAAATAAATACCTAATTGATGTCAAATATCAATAATTGCCTTCTAAAAATAAGATTCACTCATACTACAGATCCAACCATCTGAAAATGTTTTGTTTCTATTTTCAATTGGTTTTTATTACCTTATATAGAAATCTTTGAATTCATACATAATACAATATAAAGACATACTTTCATTAACACTTTTGTTAGCTATTTGCCCCTAAAATATTGAGCATAACCAGTTTCTATGTAATCATTTATCTATAAATTTCTTATATATCATTATCAAATATTTTCAAATGGAAATTTCTGCTTTTATTGATTACAGACATAAATGCTCCTTGTAAAATAAAATGTATACAATTCAGAAATTTATAAAGAAGGAAGTAAAATTCCCAGAATTCAGAGATAACCACTATTAATATTTTAAGTGCGTACATAGCCTTCCATGCCTTTTCCTATGTATACACAGTTTTGAAAACAAAAAAGAAAACATACTATGTGTACTGTCATGTTTTTATTTAAATTTTAAGCTAAAACATAATCATCTTTTCATATCAATAAATACTGATCTGTATCATCATTTAATGACTGCGTAGTATTCCATTGTGTGGATGTACTCTAACTTATCTAAGTAGTTCATTATTGAATTGAGATTTATATGTTTTTCAATGTTTTCTACATTTGTAAACAAGCTGTGACAAACATCTTGGCTTAAAAACAGTATGAACTATATGAGCTTGATAAAAATATCTATAGCATGTGAAATGCATTATATTGATATATATGTATGAAAAGATTGAAAAGTGTTCAAGGTATATTCTTCATTTAAACTGACAAAGGGAAAAAAATCATGGGATATAATTTTTCATATTTTATGAGCCTACTTGCTTTACATCGTGTGATCATTAAAGTATATGAAAATGAAGCAACTTCAAATAAAATTTAAAACCCTTACATTGGTAATTATTTACCATATGTACTCTCTCTTCCTTTCCCCCATTTCCAGTTTTCATTTAAATTTATAACCTGAAGTGTCAGTGTTAACCTCTGACCTTTACAAATGCTTTGATTCAGGATAAATCGCTGAAGATTTCTAGAGGGTAAAAATCTTTAAGTATAAGCATTTAATGCCTTTGGAGAAATTATTTAAGTACTTAAATTATTACTATTTTCAAAAAGTCAGTATAAAGAAAAGGAGTAATTAAAATATGGTTAAGTACTGATAAAATACATGTTAGGACCCTGAGAAACAGTGAAAAGAACTCTGTAAATTCAAGAAGTTAAAAGCAGGGAGGAAATATAAAGGAAAGGTGATCTCTATTTGAATACAAACATCTGGGTAGTTTTTCAGTCTAGTACTTTTCATTTTTAGCTACATGTAATAGGCTTCTAATAATTAAGGCTTCCAAAGGGGATCAAAGCAACTGAACAGTTTAAATCAGTGACAAAGCATTAAAAATAGATTATTGTTCATTTTCTAGCACAAGATAATTAGTAAAACTGTACTATCAGTGATCAACTTAATGATGGACTGTTTAATACAAGACTTTTTTGTTTTTTTTTCCTTAGCTTTTCAAAACAGTCACTTGGACAAACTTCAAATGTGCCCAGGAAGAAGAAAATTAATAAATTTTTTTTGTGATTGCAAAACATCATATTAATGGTTATTTGGGGGAGGATTTCTGTACAGGAAGTTTCAAGCATACTGATGCCTTTCTGGTTGAATCTGTGGTTAAGGGAAAAAATCAGATGTTACATGTGTAAGTGACATGTTTAGCCCAGTGGGAAAAAAATAGAATAATTATTTCTTTAAAAGAATATTTAGGAATGGAGTGAATACCATCTTACCTATAAATAAATGGCCTGATTTAAGGGAACAGTTAAAAAATGTTAAAAATTAAACAGTTAAAAATGTATCAATAAATGACTGAATCTAGATGATACAGGTGTTTGCAAGCACTTATGACAATATTTGGAACATAGTTAGCATTCCATGGTTACTTGTTGAATTAATGAATTCATAATCTGTGGATTATATCCCTCCATTTGTTTGCTTTCCAATTCTTTTCTCAGTATTTGACAAGAGAAATGAGTTAGTACAGAATAAGCCATTTTTATTAAATCTCGTCCTATGAAGAAATAATTAAGAACTGATAGGTTACATAGATTGGTGCTTCTTAGCTAATGTTACCTGTAATGTAGACTCTTGCTTATCCTGTTAAGGTGTTATCAATGCTTTCACACTTATGCTTTCTTTTTGCATTAATATTCAACACGTGATGATCCTCCCTTACACAAAGTGTCTAATAATTGGCATATTTTACAAAAGAGTCTATTTTTAGAGTAATGCTTGTTAAATAAATTAATGGTATGGTGCTCTAAGACTATTCCACAACATTTTGCTCCTACTTTGAACCAAGCGATGACAATAATCCCTGAGTCACTACTGCTTGTGCATGTGAAATGAATTAATTCTTACATATTTCAGGGTGTTAATTACCTCCCAAGAAGTATAACCTAACAAATGGTTTCTTGGAGCCTCCAGAGAGTTAGTGTGTTCCATTTGGCTCCAGGGAGGGGATCACAGTCAGTAGTTACAAATAATCTCGCCACCAATGGAAATCTGAGAAGAAGAAGGCCTGACCAACCCCACATACCGAGGATATAATGCCCATGCAACTTTAAAAAAAAAAAAAAAAACGAATTCCAAGTTCTTTCACCCTCTAAAGGCAAAGTCAATTTTAAAAGATTTCCCATTTGACACACAGAAAAGATCAGTGTTCTCACTAAATTTCTCATTCAAAGTTTGGGGCCTTCATAGTTTAGTTTATTTAATTTAAAAAATATTTACTACTTTAGAGAGACTGCAAGAAAAGGGATGAGGGCTGACATCGTATGGCAGGACTATGGCAGTCACCTGAGTCAGTTTCTTTGTTTTAGAACTTATAGTAAGTAAAATGCCAGATGTTGGCATCACTGGTATAAAAAGATAAGTGTTCTATAACGCAGAATAAATAAAATGTACATGGGATTGATTTGAAACTTCCAAACGGGTAAATTATGCTTTTGAAAAATCAAGGCCGTTTAAAATAATATTTGGAGCATTTAAAAAGTAACTTTAAGCTAATTTGCACAGAATGGCAAACGACTCTTTTTAAAGTCACCTCTCTGAGGATTTGGAGCAGACTAAATCCCTGAATAGACAAACAGAGAGGAATTTGCAAGCTTTTCTTTTTCGGTGTTCCAGGAAGCCCAGCATATATCCCTAACTGGTTTCATTGCACAAAAATATATTATACTTTAACGTCCCTAAATAAAGGAGTAAATACCTTACTTTTTTGTGATGAAGGACAGCTTTATTACATTATGGCAAGGATAGTGACAAAGAAATGCCAATCAAGATGAAGAATGTTTTTCCCAGATCATTAAAGAATTTTTAGCAGGGGAGGGTATAGCTCAAGTGGTAGAGTGCATGCTTACCATGCACAAAATCCTGGATTCAATCCCTGGTACTTTCTCTCCAGATAAGTAGATAAACCTAGTTAACTCCCCCCCAAAAAACATTTTTTTAAAAAGAATTTTTTGTAAAGGGAATTGGCGAATTAACTCAAGAATAATTTTTTTAAAAAAGTATACAGAAATAAGGAATAGTTTATATGTTATAAATCTAAATGAAGACTGTAAAAACAGCAAAATCCTACCTAGTTGACATCTACTTTAGGGTGAAGCATCCTGAATCATTTTCGGTCAATATGTATAGTTATTCTTAACACTGATTTGACAACTACAGTAATACTAAACCTCAGGAGTATTTCATTAGGAAGTGAATTTCTTAAGTATTCATGCTAGTCTGCTTCTCTGTGTCCTCTTACCTCCATCACCTATTCTCACACTCAAGTTTATACAAAGTTTTGCTGGTTGATACAGTTTGTCACAGCATCACCTTGAAAATTTCTATTAGATCAGCATGTATGTGATATTGTACCATTTTGTTGCTTTAAAGTTTCAGGACCTGCATGGCAAGCCACAGCCAAGGGTGGAAAACATTTATATAGGGATGTTTATATAGGAATGAGTGTATCTAGCTGAGGATATTCTTTTTTAAAAAATGTAAATATCAAAATGATGTTAATTAAAACAAGAACAAAGCTGTGGGGTCCCTTGGGAATTGTGGTTGTATAAGGTATACATGGGCTGGATCTGAGTAGCAAAGACTAGATAATAACAATGAGAAATAGATATTGCTAACGTGGAACAGATTTTGAGATATGAAAGCAACATTCCAAGCATAACAAGAGATAATGTGAAGAGAAACTGCAACTTTTCTGAACGGGCAACATAGGCAATAAAAATTATCTATACGCAGCCTTTAGTCATTTTGTGGAGACAACACCACAATAATGTGAACTCTCTGAGGCAAAGAGCAAAAATATCTAGGAAGATACAGTTCTCTGAAACTTTGATTATATTTTGATGTAAGTGAAACAAACTGTGAAAGAACGAAAAACAAGTATGAACTAAGTACATCTCTTACTTCAGTCTCCAAGAGGAACCAGTTTCACTTTAGGCAGAATGATTTTCTTAGACCACTGGGTCGTTTTCATTATTTTTGACCTTTAGGTTGTGAGACATGCATTTATGTAATCTATTTTAATGCTCAATAACAAATGTATTTCTGCAATCTATTCTTTTTTTATTTCTTTTTTTTAACTCAGCATTTTAATTTGGTTTCTTTGTTTGTTTGTTTTTGGTAGGGAGGGATAATTAGGTTTATTTATTTTTAGAGACGGTACTAGGGGTTGAACCCAGGACCTCAAGCATGCTAAGCATGTGCTCTACCACTTGAGCTATACCCTCCCTGCTATTCTATTTTTAAGGCAATATATAAACCAGAAAGCAGTGCCACAACCTTTCCTCAAGAGCTAGTTTCAACATACAGAGCATTTAAACTGAATTTCTGATACAAGTAATCACATGCTTGAAATTTTATCTCTAATCTTGGGCCAAGAATTTAGGGCTGTGAGGACTGTGTTTTAATTGATCTTGGCTCATACATTTTTAGTGTATTGTTTGGTAGAACTGTTTACCTTCCTTAACTTAATGGCTAGCTCTCAGGTTTCTGAAAATGTCATTAAATATTTGAAACAATATGGAATCTGTACCTAAAAAACAAAATTAAGGCTCATTGAATAACTAAGGACACAATACTAAATGATTTTAGACAGTATTAGAAATTCATCAGTAAAAAAGAGAGGAATTTCAGATAAATCGAATATACATATTTTGAAATGCAAAAAAATGGATTAATATGAATTAATACATTGTCCCCAAGGAGAAAGTTCCCACCAAAATATTTAAAGGTAAGGATTGGATACAAAAGGGCAAAAAATTAATAGAAATCTTTCACAACTACTCAGAGAGGGAAGCCCCCTTTCTCTGGTGCACCATCAGTTTAGGGCCAAAGGAGCAATGAGACATAGAGAAGGTAGAGAAAAGAGACAAGGTTTGGCCTTTAGAAATATGAACTTGTGGTGCCCTGTAGAAACTTCATTAAGAGGAGTCAGGATTTAATGCTTAAAGTTGTCTTAGGAGGTAAATTATTTCTTCCTTTCTTAATCTCACATATGCTACCTAAAATCTCAGGACCTCCTGGAATTCTTATTAAGATATTCTAGCAATAATTTCTAACTTCCAACAACAATGACTCTGAAATGTGCTATGGTGTTTTGATTTTTTTAAGCTCCCCGTGTTTTGTTGTTTGTACTCAAATGTCCCAATATTTGCTCTTTCCAAGGTGCATTGGTGAATTTCTAAATTTACTATGATACAAATGGTAGCTCATTCCCATCTAAAAATTCAAGATTTGCGTGGTGATTGAGGTGGGAGGCAGTACTAGTTCTAGTAAAATTAAAATCTTCTGTTTATAGGGATATTGGATAGATGGATGGATGGCTATATGT